CCCCCCGCGGGATTATTTTTCACCCGACAAATAACAGACATAAAAGACGCCGGGCAGGTTTTGGAAACGGTCTTTCAAACCACAAAATGAAAGGGGGAGAGAGGAAATCACGTTTCAGCTTCTTTCCCCGCTCCCTTCCTCGGTTGGGCACGGCAAAAGCAAGCAACTTCGGGAAAGCATACCGAAATGACCCAAAATGGGCGCTTTGGGCAACCACGGGAACTGCTGTAAAAAAAGCCACGGGAAGAGGGAAGCGCTGGTGTTATCCGTACGGGAGCAGCTATTTACTGGCACCACCGCGCCCGATGGGAACGGGACGGCGTACGCCCTCCCAGTGCCCAAGCTGGGACACGAAACGGGATGGATGGGGAAGCAAAACCCTATCCCCCAGCAAAAACCATCCCCAGATGAAACCATCTTGCCCGAAAACCCTCCCAAATATCGCCGGTGGCTGCGAGGAGAGGAGATGCAAGGGAGTCACCATCACAGGCCAGCCAAGGCGGGCAGGAGCCCAGGGACCACCTTGGATTACCCCAAATATCAGGTTTTTCCCCCAATAGTTGAACGCAGTTAGCAAAGACTAAGCAAGTGTTTAAGTAGGCAACTTACCATTAAAAAAAAAAAAAAAAGAAAAAAAAAAGGAGTTTTATTATTTTACCTGTATTTTAACCCCACTGCACCCCACGTCTCAGCCTGGAATGTTTAGATCTGAGTTATTCCCCCCAAAAAAAATCAGCCGAGCTGGTGGGGCTTAACTCTGTTTTGAGAGAAGTTAGGAGGCGCAGATGCGATCCGCGGGGATTTTACGCCGGGGCTACCTGTCAGGCGGGGGGAACCGGTTTTGAGCATCCCTCCCCTTGCACGCCGCCGCGTTTCGGGGTTTCCTTTCTAGGAGAAGGAGGATGGAACGACAAAAAAAAAAAAAAACACCCCCGGCACAGCATCCTTGTCGAAAATGAACAAAGCTGGAGTTAAGCGTGAATCATAGAAAACCATATACTGCCTTATACTTTTTGGATCAAATAATGGACAGGGAATACGTTTGGGGAAAAACCAAAAAAATTTTGATAAAATTAGGCTTGGCATACTAGATCAGAGGCAAATTACTCTATAAACTGTATTCAGAATCATATAAATAATGATGTAAAGGACAGATTCTAAAAAAAAAAAAAAAAAAGAAAGGCATAGAAAAGGTTTTGGTTCTACACTACGTACCTTTTCAGGAAAAGTCAGTATTTTAGCAACATGAATAGGCACTGCTACTTCATCTATTCTTAAGTTAGGATCAGGTGAAATGACTGTTCTCCCAGAGAAATCCACTCGCTTTCCAGACAGATTGCCTCTAAATCGACCTAACAAAATAAGCAAGTGAAAACTCTTTTATATAAAAGTTATTTTCAAAATGTTATCTGTTAAGACAGCACATTAGAAAATCTTTCAAGGTACATAACTGAAACACAATACAATAGTAGCAGAGAGATGCTTTGGAATAGCAAATACTTGTGTCTTAATTAAAAGACAAAATAAAACAAAAGAAAACTTTCTAGACAAACCTTGCTTTCCCTTAAGTCTCTGAACAAAACCTCTGGTCCATTTTTTAGGTGCCATGTTGAGAGGAATTCCTGAGAGCTCACTGTTAATGTACAGGGCACACTGCAGCTGAAGGAAGTCCCAGTCTTCCATAATCATTTGTGTTTTGGCTCCTGATATCCTATGCTAAACAAAATAGTCATCCAGTTCAGGAAACAAATATGACACCACATATTAAACTAGCAAAGAATTCTTCTGATGAATACAACTCTTCTTTGGAAAATAAAATAACTTTATAAAAGGATGCATATTGCTACAGTACAAGGCCATTCACAGGAGAACCCAGCAAAAAATTACTTTTGACTAGCACTGGCTTTGGACAAATGGTCACAACACTATGTATTTGTTTAAATTCTACTTTTTTCCAGGAAAGTCACCAGTAGTTAATAATTTTCCAGTCATGAGAGAGTTAGCTCTCATTTGATTTTGTTTTCCTGACAAAAGACCAGTTTTGAAAAGTCCGAAAAGTATTAGTCTGGTAGAACTGTTCTTCTAAACAAATGATAAATTGCCAAATTTACTTCTTATCTCAATTTGACAACCATGCTAACTGAAACCTGATTTCATAAGAACATACGGTAGAATAAAGAAAGGACAAAGACGCAGTAAAAAAAGAGGGAGGTCTACATGAAAAAAACCAAATCAATAGGTATAATGTTTTCATTGTAAGTGGCCACTCAAAAAGTTATTAAAATTAAGGGGGGAAAAAAAGAAAAGAAAAAAAAAAAAAAGAAAAAAACATAATAAAACAAAAAGGAAAGGTGAGAAGTAACACATTAAGTGGCGGATGATTCGAAACACCTCGTGAGCCCACCGAGCTGCGAGGGTGAAACAAGGCAAGGAAGCAACGCCACCCAAAACGCCCTAAACCCACCCAAAAGCCCTTTTGCAACAGGGAGGAAAAGGCTCTGCAAAGCCAACTTCGCAGCAGACAGCTCTGATTTATTTTTTTTTAACAAGCCCGGATTGTTTTATTATTTTTAAAGGAGCAAAAGCAACCGCCCTCCATTCTCACGGGCTCCTCGGAGAGCCAGCGCCGACGGCCAAAAATATAACTAAATAAGCAGCGTTTCCTAGAAAGTACAGAGGTATTTCTCAATCGGTGCCACTGATCCCCTGCGTGCCCTGTGCTCCACCGTCAGCATCTGCCAGGGAGGAGGAGAAAGCATTCCGCCGGATGCCGTGTCATCCCCCCCTTTTTTTTTCCCCCCCCCCAAATCCGAGCGGGATAACGAGGACTCGGCATTTCACACCCCCTCCCCGACGCGCTCCTGCCTTTTTGGCAGCAAAACTGAGCGCCACATCCCCATCCTCCACGTGACCGACCCGCCTTTAGCTCCTCGGTTTAAAAGTCCTGGAGTCAGGGAAAGTTGTTTGAGACAGAGAGGGAGTGGGAAAAGGGGGGGGGAGGAGAAAAGAGGCATCCAGGCACGTCACCCCAAAAATGTGGGTGGGACTCTGCACCCCACCACGGAGGTAGACACCGATGGGGAGGATGCTGGTACCCGATGGGATGTACTGGGAGCGGTACCCGGGCTGCATCCCCCGCTCCCAAACCTGCT